ACTGGTTTAAACCAATTTATTAATTCAACAATAACAATAACAATAATAACTGGTCCAAACCATACATGTGGTTGTATTACTATAAAAGGAAATTTGATCGATAATACGATTCCAAATTAAATATGAATTCTAATTAATTATTATATGTTACTTAGTAATTCTACCATAATACAGTTTTTGAAAAATGGTTGAATTCAATTCCACCACATGTATAGTCCAGATCACAAGATACTGGTTTAACCCCAGGTGAAGGCAGTTGAACAGAATTAATATAATATCCAGCGCCATGACCTGTTAAGTGCCATTTAAGCCAATTTACATGCTGATCCGAGTGGGCGTCAAGAATATGATCTCCAGAAAAGGTGTCGTGGTGTGACAATCGTCTGGTTAATGTTACAATAATCACTGAAAAAAAATAAAAAGATGTACAAAATATTCAAGATGGAACATGTTGGTGTGGCAATCCTTTCTGAAAGACACGTTGGTGTGAAAATCCTTCCTGAAAGCATATGGTGTCCCTTCCTAAAAAGTCAAAGATTTATCTCTATAAAATTTCTATAAGCTGCAATAGTTTACGGTAGTACAATACACAATGAATAGGGTTATGATAGGCAATAAATAGAATTGAATAGAGTTAAATAGAATTCAGAGTTATAACAAGTGTCAGATATAAAAATAACGGTGGCAGACTTAACCCAGATGGTCGAAGTTACCTGTGGGTGGATTCTAGTTAATATAAAATTAGTAGTAGTTTAAAACCTCTATATTTATATATGTAAAAATTCTACACTAAATAAACTAGAGTAAAGTCTTACTTGGCCAATTAAAAAAAAAAAAAAAAATATAAAATAATTGAGACAAATACAATTATTTTTAAGAATTTTGACAATTGAATTAATAGTAAAATAATTTATATTACATATATAGCCACGAGTATTCCTTTGGTAAATTTTATCTTTTATAATTTTTAAGCTTATTCATTATATTTATATTGTATTTTATTTTTCAAAGAAGCATAAGATTAAAATTGAAAGAATCAGTCAAAAATATATTAATAAAATTCTGATAAAATAACTTACAATTGTAAAATAATAGAATTAGTTTTTTTATTAATAGCTGATTAATTTGTTATTTTTATTTTTATTAATTTTTTTTTATACTTAATCAGGCCATATACTCAAGTTTATTGGTTTTAAACTTTAGAATTGAATAAATCCTAATATAGATATTATAAGATATATATAGTGTCATTTATACATATACTAATAGTAAAACTTCTTATACTAATATGATATATTTGTTAATAGCCAATGGCCTTTAAATTATATATATGGTATAAATTATTTTGCTGTTGACTCAATTGTCAAAATTCTCAAAAATAATTGTATTTGACTCAATTATTTTATATGTTTTAATAGTAACTTAATTAATTGTATCAAATAATTATATCAAATTGTATTAAGGATCTATTAATTTTTATCATATATATGTTCTATATATAATTAAAAAAATGAAAAAATTGCTTAATTAAAAAAAAATATTTTTTGTTAATTTAAAATATCAATGCCAACCCTTCATTAAGACTATAATCTCAACTTAACCTCTATAGTTCTAAAGTATAAAAATTTTTATTTTTTAAGAAAGTAAAAAGAATAGGTAAAAGGAAAAAAGAAAAGTTTGTATTGATAAAATAAAAACTTATTTAAATCAATTATCAGTCTAATAAGAATCTTTTTTGATCTTGAAAAAAAAAAAAGCCAGTACAAGAAAGAAGAAAGAAGACTTCAAGCCATTTCTTATCAAGAGACATCTTGACATCTTACTTTTTCATCCTTATTCAATTGTATTATCAATTGTAATATAATATAACATGGAATATATAGAAGTACATATCTTGTTTATATTTTTTTTACATATTAATTAATCAGTCCAATATTTCAACCAATCATTAATCAGAATTTCCAGTGTAACAAAAAATTTAGAATCAAATTGAGGTAAGCAAAATTTTTTAAAAAAATCAAAAAAATTTTGATATGCTTAAAAGTATTACTACAGATATATATAACTGATGAAAAAAGATTATATATCTAAACAGATAGGCTTCTATCAGCTTATCTATTTACTTCAGATTATATATGTGATGTAAATTATTTTGCTGTTGACTTAATTGTCAAAATCCTCAAAAATAATTATATCTGATTCAATTATTTTATATGTTTTAATAGTAACTCAATTAATTGTATCAAATAATTGTATCAAATTGCATTAAGGATCTACCAATTTCTATTATATGTATACTTCAGATAACAGATATTTACTTATAGTGAACTCAAGATTCTTATAGAGCTTGAAAAATACATTTATTAATAAGTTCAACTTACAGTATATATGTGATAGAAATTGATAAATCCTTAATACAATTTGATACAATTATTTGATACAATTATTTGAGTCACTATTAAAATATATAAATAATTAAGTTAGATATAATTATTTTTTAAAATTTTGACAATTGAGTCAATAGCAAAATAATTTATACCATATGTATAGTCCAACTAGCTTATCCATCCACCTTAGACATCAGGTGTTTGCTTATAATAAATTCAAGATTTTTTTAAAGCTTGGGAAATATATTCATTCAATTTATTATTTTTATTATTAACAACTAGAGTTCTAATTGATACTATTTAGTACAGTATTTTGTAAAACTAATATTAAAAATTTTTTTTAGTATTGATATCAATAATTATTAAAAATTTTCAATATAATACTTTAAAGTATCAATATCAAATTGAAGTATTAAAAGTATTAATAATAATTAAAATACTATATAAAGTTTCAATTAATATTATTTTATAATCATATACTATTGACTATAATATTTTAGATATTATTTTAAAAATAATTAAATTTATTAAATAGTATATACTTAGATATTAATTATATAAGAAATGATGTTTTATAATAGAAATATAGTATTTTAAATGGATTTAATACAAATGTTAAATTTATTTTTAAAGAAATAAAAAAATTAATATAAAAAAAATTTTTATAATTTTTTTTATTTTTTTTACTATAATTATAATATATAGTAACAAAAATAAAGGTTATATTAAAATAATTAAAACAAAAGATAATAATAAAATGTTTGTAAAAAATTTTTAATTATTATAAACTTGCACCTATAAAAAATTAGTTATTTTTTAATAAATAAATTAATTTAATTAAAAAAAGTTTAATCTCAAATTAATATATTTAATTTAACTTTTTGTTATAAGTTTACTTAATAAGTTATATGGTATTACAGATACATAATCATCATTATTTTATTGAGAATTAATAGATTATTACTTTAATAAGAATAATATTCTGGTTCACAAAATAATATAATACAAAGGATTTTGACTTATTGTAAAAAATATTATTATTATTTTTTTTTAAAGTAGGTAAATATCAATTCTTTATTATTTCATATATATAATAGTATACATTTTGAAAAGAATCAACATCTCTTAGTTGCAAAAGCATACAATAAGTTAAATGTTAGCTTGCCTACTTATATAATATTTAACTAATACAGAAAAGAAATTTTAAAACTATACTAATTGCTAAACAAAGGCTGAATAGTGGCTATACTTATCTATTCAGAAAAAAAAGCTTTTATATTTTAAAAATTTAAGAAGAAAATAATAAAGCTAATTAAAACTGAAACTAAATCAAGTAAATTATAAAATCTATGAAAATAAAAGTTGAATCCTCAAGAAAATACTTTGCCAGGCTCATTGTCCCAGATCATTGGTTCTTTGTGACTTGTTGATACTTTTTTTCTTGACACAGATAATAGAATATACTTGAGATTATTTATTGTAATAGTTGTTATTATTATGGTAGGGATCAGATGGATAAACCAATTTGGACTGGTTATTGTTATTATTGTTGATATTGTTATTATTGAATTAATAAATTGGTTTAAATCAGTTTTGTTGTTTTGGTTTGGATAATATAATGAATTTTGATTAAACAGTTGCCAGATGTCGATCAATTGGTGGGAGTAAACTGATTTTGGTTTTTGAAATCAAAAAAGATTAAGTATTTTTTTGAGTGATGCAATAAGTGATGCCAGGATAGAGAAGTATATAAAGGTTGTGTTGAAACAAATATTAGAATCTATAACTTTGTTTGAATATGTTTTTTGAAAGATGTTTATGAATATAATAATTGTGATAATATATATATAAATGGTTTTTATCATACATGTGATCGTATTATCATAAAAGAAAATTTGATTGACAATACGATTCCGAATTAAATACAAATTCCAATTATTTATTATATATTACTTAGTAATTCTACCATAATATGGTTTTTGAAAAATAGTTGAATTCAATTCCACCACATATATAGTTTTTATGATAAAAAGGAGTATGGATTGCAAGAGAACCAAAGAATCAAAGTGTACTGTTATGAACCTTTTCCCATATAACCAAAGGATAAACAAGACTTCCAAACTTGAGTAGACTTTGACCAGAGATTCCATCCCACTGCACCAGTTGTCTTTAGTATTCTTGAGTTTTTGAGCTGGAGCTTATTTGCGATAAAGAGTGTAAAATATTTTTTTTAACCAAAATTACCATATATGGAAATTTTTAAACAAAATGGACATGATCAGGAGAGAGTTTTATTATTATTTTTTTTTTGTAAAAAATATTATTATTTTTATTATATGAGAATTGTTATTATAATAATTTTAATAAAATAAAACTATTCATTATTTGAAGATTTATTTTTAGAAATAAATAAATTATTTGAATATTTATTTTTGAAAATAAGTTAATCATATAGTGTGGGATACTTTAAATCAGCAAGTATAAATTTAGGTAGCCAAATCTAAGGCAGGTAAATTATATGATAATCGACCAATTATATTTAATAAAATTGATAAAACAAACATATAATTTGATACTCTTTTTTATAACTAATTCTTTTATACATTGAATGTCATGACAACACATAATGTAGTATAAATTTAATCTGTTTTTTCTTGGTTGCCGTCCATATTTTGACTTAGGATGATATAGATAGTTGCTACTATATTCTATAATCTGTACTAAGAAATACATAAATAATATAGAATAGTATTATCATATACTAAAAATGTCATGATTATCTAAGAGAGTTTTATAACTAAAGAAAAGTTGAGAGATCAAAAAAGCCAAATGCTAGTATAATGCAAATAACAAAGCAGATAACAAAGCAGATAATGAAGCAGATAACGAAGCAAGTAACGAAGCAAGTAACGAAGCAAATAATATCTTTAAAAGATTGCTACAAGTAGTTTCAGAAGTAAGTACTCATCAATCACTTATATATGTTGGGAATTTAAAAAGATCAAAGAGACGTCAAAGACAAATACAACGGGAGGCTGTAGTCAGAACATCTAAATTAGAATCATTTTGATCAAAAGTAAGTTTTTTTTATTTAATTTATTGTTATATAAATTACAACAAATTTAAACTTATTTTAATTATAATAAACAATTATAGATATGAATATATTCAGTTTAGATAAAAATGAAATTGAAACAGAATTTGACTCAGAAACTGAAAATTATATAGATTTGAAAGATGTTATCAAACAGCTAGAAAGTAAGATTAAAAGTAACAGTTATAATAATATAGAAAGTACTTGCCTCAATATTATATTATCTTACCTTTGTCTTGTAGATTGTAGCAAGAAAAAAATTAAAGCCAGTATCATTATAGCTAAAGCTACTGAAAAGAATATTTATTGTTCTCGTTTTATACGAGTATGGACATCAGATTATATTTGAAATAGTGTTTTTTCAGTATCAAGACAAGGAAAACATCTGAAGATATGGAGTTTTTTATAGAACAATAATGTATTATTGCAGATCAAATTTTTTTTTTGATCAAACAAATGGAATATTTCTTCTAAAGATTTGACAAATTATATAAATAAAGAAATACTTTCTAAAGTTTGCTTTGATTCATCACCAACAATAAATATAAGAACAGCTTGCAGATAGATAAAAGAGTTTGGATTTGAATATTCAGAAGTTAAAAAAGAAATGTATATGGATGGTCATAAGCAAGTAGATGTTTTAGCTTATCAGAAAATTTTTTGGAGAGAATGGCGAATTATGATAAAAGAATAATAAGTTTTTCAAATGAAAATATGAAAATAGAAACCTGGCAAATATTGGTCAAGTTATAATTTTAGTAACACACAATAAATGTATTTTTCTATATATGATGGAAAATATCAATTATGAAAGCCAAAAAGAGAACAGCCACTTTATAAGAAAGGTCAAGAATGATTTATTTATATAAATGATTTTCTTATTAATATAGCTGAACATTTAGTATTATGTGAAGAAGACAAGATATACAAGTTTTATTTACTTTGATTATCTTTTTTACAGTAAGATATATTAATTAAAGTTTTTTTAGGAATTTTTCCCAATATTTCAACAGAAGCATGCATTATAACATACCTAGGAAAAAATGGTGATGGATAGTAGAATTCTGATAATCTTGTGGAGCAAGTGATAAAACATGCAATTTCAATATTTGAAGTTCGTTTTCCAGGTGCAAAGACCCTTTTCATATTTGATAATGCCACTGGTTATACTGTATATACAAATGATGCTTTTTTAGCAAGAAATATGAATTTGTTACCTGGTGGAAAACAGGAAAAAATAAGGTTTGTATAAATTAAAATTTTTTATTTTTTATTTAACATTAATTATATTTTGTATAAAATATACAGAAGCATATATGGAAATAGCATTAGACAAGACATATGTTTTTCTATGGATTACTAAATTCCTGATTGTGTGGCGAACCGAAAGGTTTAAAAAGAAATTCTAAGAGAAAGAAACTTATGGTATGACAGAATGAAGTTGAAATATAAAGGAAAGTATAAGAAAGAAAGCATTAATTGTTGTGCAAGAACAACAATAGCAAACCAATTAGATTTTAAGGCACAATAGGAAAACTTGAAGAAGCAATTATTTTTACAGGTTATGAAATTATATTTTATTTGAAATTTCATTATGAGTTAAATTATATTGAAAATTTTTGGGGATCTGCAAAATGATATTCACGAAGCTATTGTAATTATACTTGAAAAGGTTTAAAAAGAACAGTACCACAAGCTCTTACATCAGTATCGTTAAGTGAAATTAAATGATATTCCTAAAACTCCTTTAAATATATGGATGCATATCGTAAAGGATTAACTGGAGAAGCTGTTGAATATGTAGTAAAAAAATATTGATCATATTATCATATTCTGGATTCAATCTTAATTGATGTAAATATAATAAGAAATTAATAGTTATATGTATAGCCTTATAATAAAATAATAATCTTAAATGAAGTAAAATTGCTTAAAATAATATTATATAAATATATAATATTTATTTTAATAGTATTAGGAATAGAATTTTTTGATCATGATTGCAATGATATAATTTTGTATTGCAAGACCTGATAATAATAAATGAATATAATAGTGTAATAACGATAGAGGAGAAAAGAAACCAATGTATATATAAATAGAAGAGTGTAATGATGATAAAGGAAAGAAGGAAACTAAGGCATATATATAATCAACCCTGTTAAACTGAACCTTATTAAACTGAAGTACTAATTAAATTCCTGTTATTCTGAAGTTTGTTTAAAAACTATTATATTGTAAATTACCTCGTTAAACCGAATTTACTAGGTAAACTCCTCTAAATCAAATTTCCCAAAAAATTTTACTAATAGTTCTGGTTACCTCGGTTTAACAGGATTCACTGTGTATAAAGTTACAGTATATCAGATGTAGAGAAGATACCAGTTGTAATTTTGTATGCAAGTCTTATTACCTGATGTACATTTGATAATGGACTATTGTTACTATCTGGATAAAGAATAAAGTTGATAAAGTCTATTATTTGCTTGACTTCTTTTTTTGCTGAAGGACAACTAAAGACATGGAAGATATTTTCAGTCTAAAGACTGTACCTTGAACAATAAGGATCCTTGTAAAGTTCAGGATATAATTGGTGAAAAAATTCTTGTGTTGGAAGTATACCTAAGAATAGTTTGACTCTAAATGTAATAAGATCACTATAAGCATTGTTGTGATATTTCTTTAAGAATTTGTTAAAGGAGTTGATTATTTGGAGCTCAAAGGTATTATGAGATTGACCAAATATTTTGATTATGAATGAGCTTTTGCAAATGATATAAGATCTGGTGATGCCAAAAATTTTTTTGCATTATTTTGAGCAGCTACTTAAATCTATTTTGTTAATAGTGGGGTTTTTTGCGAAATAAAGAATTAGATTATTCCATAGGATCAAGTTGATATATCTTGGCTTGAATTTAGGCTTGGCGAAGATGATGAATATATATTTTTGTATTGTAATTTATAGAATTTTTGAAGTTAGAATGGCAAAGCTAACTTTCACATGCTTCTTGGGAAAGGTAAAGGGTGTCTGGATAATTTTTTTATTACTTCTAACTTTAATGGTAGAGTGAGGAAGGCACTATTGAATAATATCATAAATGATTTATAGAATATTGCCATCTGGGAGTCCTGGATTGGATATTGTAACTTTGGTCTTATTGATGATTAAGTCTTGTTTAGAGAGTTGGATATGATATAAGTTATATTTGCCTATTGCTTATAGAGGAAAAGGGGATGGTATAAAGGCTGGGATGTCAATTAATTGAAGAATAGTTTTGTTTTTTGTTGGGAAATTTGCTAATTCCTCAATGATATTATAGAGGTAGTACTTGACATTGGGTAAGACTTTATAGATTGTTCAAAGCAAAGAGGCATTGGAGCTTAAGAAAGATTATTGAACAGTAATTGTTAATGGAGAGGCTTAGAGAGCAGCCAAAGTATTTGATAAGGTTGTTGTTGGAGTTGATTGTGTAATGCCTTTCCTTAAAGAGTATGTTCTCTTGGATATGATAGTATCTTTTATAGGTTCTGATAATAGTATTCATAGTATATAGGAACCAGAATATCAGATTTGAATTTGGTATTAATCTGTGAGATCTGATAAGGTTGCTATTGTTATTGAAGTTTTAAATCAGATTAGTTCAAGACCATATTGCACAATGCCTATATATGAGATAAGTTGTAATCAAGATAATTTGATTGGACTGTTGAACCAGTGGAGTTGGCTGGAGAATTTAATATTGAGGGTATTGAATATGTTGACTGCTATTTTCCTGAGCTGTGATAATAGACTTTTGAAGAATAAGTCTATAGAAATTATATGCATTTTCTAATTGGAGGGAGCAATTTGGAGGATATATTTGTACTGTATATTAAAGTTTTTTGCAACTTCAGCTGCATATAATATCCAATTATCTTGGTCAAATTTTTCTGGATCGCATATTGAACAGAACCAGATAGCTTTTTTTTTTTGAATATACTGTAAGGTTTGAATTATGTATTTTCTTGTTACAGGAGTGGCTAGCTTGATTATAAGGTTGTTTATAAGGCTTGATCTTTGATATTCTTCGAGAAGTGATATACTAAGCCCTCCTCAGCTCATTATGATTGAATTGGAGTATTTAGAAGAGATTTTAAAGCCAGACTTGATAATTTGATTGACTTTCCTTTAGGTAGTATTGAGAAGACTCTTGTTTAAGTGAAAGACTAATAGGAAGTATTCATATTTCCACATAATTACCTACTTATAGATATGCTGCTTGATTTCTTCTTTCCATTGACATTTGTTAAGTTCATCTAAGATTTGAGAAGTTACTTAACTGAAGGCTTTTCTGTTAGCCTTGAGAAGGCTGTATGGAAAGATAAGGACTTTTAAATATTTGATGCTCTCATATGGTTTGAGAATTTGAATTGGAAGATTTTCAAAATTAATTGTTCTTGGGCTTCCATGTTTAACTTTAATATTGTTAATGATTTTGATTTTGTCTTTGTTGCATATGATGTCATTAATTTGAAAGAATTGGTTGGCTGTTTCAAGAAAAACTTTTATTTTTTTTTTGAAATCAGTGATAAGTGCTAGGTTGTTCATATAGGTGAGTGTATTTGAAACTAAGTAACCCTATATTCGTTTGCATCTGGAAAGTTTGAAAACAAGAGGATCATAAAATATAATTCAGGTAATTGGAAAAATGGTTTCCCCTTGTTCTATGCCATTATTGACCATAAAGAGGTTGGTTGGACTAAAAGATAAATTGATGGATATTTCTTTGTTTGTGAGCAAGTTGGTAAAGAGACTTATTAACTGAGAGGAACACTTGATTCTTTCCATGGACTTTTTGATAGCTGATATGGAAATAGAGTCAAATGCTTTAGCAATGTCAAGTAAGGTAAACCAGAATTCTCTGTTGTTAATATTTGTTACTTGGATTGCTAAGTTGATGATAGTTAGGAGTTTAAGGGTACTCTGTCCTGGAAGT